GGCAGGCTTGCACCTGGCACAGGCACCGTAGCCAGCCCGTGCCCCTTTAAGGGCTCCGGGGCCGGGAGGGGGACATACAAGTTTCCCTGGTGGTGCCAAGAGTGGCCACCAGGGAAAGCTGGGGAGGGCTAGCCTTCCACTAGTTCGAATTAAGTGGCTACACACCCCTTAATTTGAACTATTTAATTCAAACTAGGCGTTAGTCCTTGTAGAATGAGGTTTACCTAGTTGGAATTAAGCGCTCCGCTAGTTCGAATTAAGTTCGAACTAGCGGTTTGCCTGTGTAGCGCCTATCAAAGTTAATTCGAACTAACGTCTGTTAGTTCGAATTAACTTTGTAGTGTAGACATACCCAGAGTGAGTCTCATTCTGGTGTTCTTGTGCTTCAGGGCTGGGAAAAGCAATTTGCAAACTTCCAGGAAAGTCACCTTATGGGTACAGAAATTTTGCAGCCAGTGTTGCTCATTTCGTACCTGCATCTCATTAGTCTGCTTGTCTGAGAGCACCAGAACTGGAGTTCCACTGTGTCCACAGGATCAAATGCCAGTGGCGTTTATCAATCTCTCAACTCAAGTACTTCGCAAAAAAATGTGTCCTGGTTTTCTGAGATTTGTCGTTGCTCCAGCAAACCCTGGATATGCTCTGGATATATTCCAGCATTAGGTACATCATGCTTAATATCCCAATGCTTTGATGCTCGATGGAATCCATGATAGATTCCATGTTTATGCTACTATGGTGTCTCCGTGGATAACCAGAAGTCAAAATGGGTGCAAAAAGACTATTTACAATTGCTTTCAAGCAGGGGAGGGGGGGGGGGGGGCGGGAACATGTACCCAGAATGTTAGCCATCCTGCTGTGGATGTGCTATTTTGAAGTACTTTGAATTCTTAAGCACAGTGAGGACATGCACTTTCGACTTTATGAAATTGGGTGCTAAAAATCAACCTTAATAAATTTGACCTTATTTTGGTATAAGCATGGTTTTAGTCTCCCCCAATAAGTCTCCACCTGGACTCTCTCTCTACCATCCTGTATTCTTTCTATCTTTCATCTCTGAGCTCTTTGAACATGCTGTCTGGAGTTTTTCTTTCTTCTAATTCCATCCTAGAGTTTCTCTAATACATCTTCCACTCTTTGGATTGTATTGCAATCAGAATGAGATTATCTGAGAGATCCTACATTTCTTGATAGACATTAAGTATGCATAAAATTCTTGTTTCCAGCTTTCCCCCTATCCTCTCCATTCTACAGGTGGTATTTTCCTTCTTTAATTTGCTCTTACCCTTTTCTGGAACCCTTTTCAGTTTTGGTGTTAGTAGTGACCAGAGAAGATTCCAAGGCTATTTAATCCATAAGGGATCAGTGAGATGTTTTTATTTTCATTAATATTCTAGTAATGCAGGACTCATCCAGCCAGAACCAGCGCTTTCAGCCAGTAGTGCTATGGTTGGCATAGTATTGGCAAATTGCCTTACATTTGAATTATTACAGTAATCCATAATAATACAAAAATGAATCCGTTTTTCCTCTTTTCCTAGGCCTCCTTGGATTTTCATAACCGTGAGTTCTTTGTTGTCATAATGACAGTGAAATTTAGCATAAACAAGGTGGAAGTAACAAATTGCTGATCATGTTACATGATCTTCCCATATTCAAAAATTAAAATGCACTTAGGTACTTCACAAAATACATCTGGTATGTAGGTTATTCTATGGTTGATGTAAATCTGACTTATCTAATTAAATACATAAACGTAAATATTTTTCTTAAATATTTTTAGTCCATACATGTTAAATGCGTATTAAACATTCATGTAACGTGTGCTTCGTGTAGTCATGCACATTTAAAAATGTGAAACACAGTACAGTTTTATTCCTGGAAATAGTTATGAACAAATTTGAGTAATTTAAAGACGGGTAATGTACTGCTGTGCTATCAATCTAGGTAGCATACTTTTAAAACACTTGGGTTTAAGGAGGATGGTTAGTGAAATCTAGGGATGTGAAGGAGCAGTTGACTAGTTGCTTTTCCCCTTCTCCCCTCCCTCCCCCCTCCTCCCGCTGCCTCTGTCAGTTAGGGCACTTCCACTCTGAAGTGCACTAAACAGGCAAAAGCACCTTAAATCAACCTTAATAAATTAGACCTTATCTCGGTATAAACATGGCCTTAGTCTCCCCCAAATCTATCTGCAAGAGGGGGGGAGAAAAGAGGGGTACTTGAAAGTGACAGTGTCACATGGAGCCTGGGGTCAGCTGCTCTGTGTGGCACTGCTGCTTTGAATGCCACGGAGAGCCCGGGATCAACTGGGGACTCTCCAGCTGACCCCGGGCTCCATGCAGCGCTGCCGCTTTGAAACGCTGCGGCAGCATTTCAAAGAAGCTGCGCTGCACAGAGCCTGGGGTCAGCAGGAGAGTCCCTAACTGACCCCAGGCTTCAGCGCTTCTGCCTTGTTAGTGTAGCAACAACCTTAGGATAGAGGCAGCCCTATCGATTAATTAAATAGTTGATGCAAAAATGCATTGACTATTTGATTTGTCAGTTACCCGAAACGTAACATCCTTAGTGAAATCTTAAGAGGATACTGTTGAGGGTAACAGATTTCCTACTGGAGGGAAGTAAAAGAGGGAAATTAGCAGCGCAGGACCTCAAGGAAGGCATAATGATCTCAAACTTTTATTTAAAATACAGTGCTCTGTACTTTTTTTTTTTTTTAAACCTCTACATGTTGTGCCCTCTCCCGCTCCCCTCCTCCCCCCGTTTAGCAATTTACCTTGAATTAAATGTTTGTGCGTGGAGGGTTATTTCTATATCAGGCTATTTAAGAGCAGCCATCAATGTTACTTAATGGTAAATTTTTCTTGAGGTTTTATTTTTTGCCATTGTCCCCGTAATACATACTGAAAACTTCCATAAAATATTTTTCTTAAAAATAACCAACTTCATAAAGCAATATAATTCATTTCTCAGTATATTTCATGGTACTGTCACTTCTAATTTAAAATCAACTTTTTCAAAACTTATTTCTTAATGAACTTAATCAGATTAGTTTTATTTAGTCACATCTGTTCATGATTGTTCCCCATTTTACATGCCATACAAATCATGAAATTAAGCTAATTATATACCATTATCAGCTGCAAAGAACTGGTTACACCGTTTTATACCTTTTAATTCCCAGCAGGAGATTAAGGCTTGTTTTTTGTTAATGGGAAAAGTGCAGTAATTTAAATGGATTTCCCTGCAGTTATTGCCAAAGGATTAACCAGTTTATTATTGGTTTTCGCGGTTCTAAATTGGTTCTAAAACATTACATTTTATGTATTCTTTATTGATGGCAGTACTTGTCATGCTATTAATGTAGAGTTGCTACCTACAACTATAAAGCAAAAGACAATGTGATTACATGTGTGGTTTCTGCAGATAATAAACCTGTATTGTTGGGGGGGGGGTTATTATATTTACACAGGTGACGATGAGCAGAGTGACTGGTTTCATGAAAATGAATCTGGCGGTGCATGTGGAATCACTGGAGTCGGCCACTGGTGGGAACAGGAGGACTCAACGGAATTGGAGAAAGAATTGCCGGATCCAGTCTTTGAAAGTATCTTAACTGGTGCTTTCCCTCTTATGTCCCATTCAGGGAGGAGAGGTCAGTAACACTTAAAGGTGGAATAATAGCATGGGTTCAATGGAAAGATGTCTGTGGCCTTAATCTGGTATATGAAGTATGTGGGAATTGGTCTTGAGCTTCAGAGTTCTTACATTTTTTAAGAGCAGTACTAAGAATGGAAATGAGCGATAAAATTGCCAAATGATTATGAAGTTTGGGAGTGCAAAATTTATCCTTTTTTTCTTAGGCCCCTGTCCTGCAAAGCTGTACTCCCACCACAGGTCCCATTGTTTGCAGTAACTTCAGTGGGTTTTTTGGAGCAGCTACACTACAGCTGGGTTTAAACTATAGTTTGTAGTTTGCACCTGATCTATCTAGGTTGCTAAATAAAGCAGTGAGGGCTTGGCTCAGTCTGGGTTCCATGTGAGTGCCACAAAGCCACCTGTCCCTGACTGTCTCTCTTCCATTTCTCTCTTCCTTCCTCCCTCCCCCCGCCCGTTTTTAGCAAGTTAATTAAAATAAAGGTAGCACAGGTATCTCTACACAAACTGCAACTCTGCACCCTTTGATGCAGCGCATATGTATCCTCTGTGTGGGTCAGAGTTTGCAGAATGAGGCCCAAAATTTGTAATTCAGTAGCTTTCATAAAACAATCCAATAGTTTTAGAAATAAAACAAAATGGTTCAGGTATTAAAACTATCAACAAATTAAAATATTCCTTATCAAAGAAAATGTTTTGTGTTTCTTTTGATTCCCATCTCCTAGTGTAACTTTAGGAATGTGATTGTAGTATAAAATACTTTTTTTTTTTTTTTTTAAACTGAGCTCTGATGCTTACTTGTAGGTTTCCAGAGTAGATTTAGTCATCTTCATGGAATGCCAGCAAGAAACATGAAAAAGGTTTCAGGAAACCCAGCTGCATTGGTAGGCATGTTTATTGTTGTTGTTATTAATTAAAAACCAGTTTGAACTGTTTGTCATTACTATAACAAAACAAAATCCACAAAAACAAGTTCATATTTCTCTTTCATTGATATCCTAATGTTTGTATATAGTTGAAATGATTCATTCTTTTTACAGTGTACAAACTGGAATGGTAAGACTACTATAAACCAGGTTTTCTAACACTTTTGTTTGTTTTTAATTCTTCTCCTTCCTGTGCTATAATGTAATGCAATGGCCTAAACAAACTGTTAATTAGAAGATTGTTCCTTCATGCTTTATATTAACTGTAGGGGAAAAAGTCAAAGAAAAATACGCTTTTCAGTATGTAGCAGGTGTATATAAAGAAAGGGATCTTTATCTAAAGCATATCACATTATAGAGAGAAATTATGAATTTTTTTCTTGTCTTTGTAAAGGAGCATCAAATCTGTTAAGTTACTCAAATGCTCCTGATACTAAGAGTGTCGGTCACCGTAGGATTAATGTGTTTTCTCTTAAGATCTCTCATCTTTCATCCTTAACTTTCTATCTTTATTTTTTTAAGGCCACATGTTAAAATGTGTTTAGTGATCTAGTACTTGTATATGCATATTACAGAATCTCCAGCACCTCTAAGCACTAATGTTGTTAAACATCCCCTCAGTTTTAGGAACAGCAACAAAGGTCATTTATCACTGCTTCTCTTGCTCCCTGTTTTTGTTTTGTTTTGTTTGTTTTTCAAACTGTATGGGTTTGAAATCACTTTTTGGACTGGGAGAGTGAGAAAGAGGAGGAGGGACAGCTTTTAAAATTGTTTTTATAAATAACTCCAAAATGAGTGGAAATTCTTTCTTATCAGAATGGGAGTTGAGAGGTGAAAAAGAGGAAGAAAGCTTATTTCAATATTATAAGTCAAGGGTTCACACTGGTAGTAACCATTTTCTAGAATGAGAAATTCCAAGGCCTTCAGTCTCAACGTTCTAACGTCTTTATAAGAGAATTCTGTTAATTTGTTGAATTTGAATAATGTGATGATGGAAACCTCAAAAGGTATTACATATGCAGAGCACAGAAAAGCAGTATGGGTACTAGAAATGTAAACCTTTTAGAAAAGGAGAAATATTGTAATTGAAATCTTTGTCCAATAACTGCCATTCAGAGCTGAATATGACACTTTAAAACCTTGACCTATGAACTCAACCTTTAGTGATCATGAATTAGATGAATGCTATCTAGTTCTTGGTTTCAGATCTACCTATTTTTATTTTTGGTTCACTGCTTACTTGAGCATATCTGGGATTTGTAGCCCATTTTCTAGTCTTATTGCAGTCTTGCTCTGGTATTTTATAGGCGCTATTACAACTGATAGGGTAGCTTCATGGTATTGATGATACATAGCTTAACCATCCTAAAAACTGCCTTTCCCCTCTAAATAGTAAAAAGGTGATTACATTTCAGTTGATGGAAATATATTGTTATATATACACATATGCAGTATGTTGCTTTCTGGTACAAGTTCTGGATTGTCATAAGCATCTATCCCCTTTTCAAGAAAACCTCATGCATATTAATAATAGAGTAATTTTTTGTAGAACAACATGTATACAATCCACTAAAGGAAGATAACTGAATTATCTGTAGATAGAACATTATGTACCAAGTTTATTAACTATGTGATACCAGAGACAAGTTTCCCAGAGCAACACTTTCAAAGGAGGGTAAAAAAACATGCAAAGCCCTACATTAGAAAGGAAAAAAAACCTATCTATCAACCAACCAACCAATGGAAAAATGTTAAGCTAGCTGTTAGCATGAACAATTTCCTGATCTGCATGCATCCTGAGTCTTCAGTTATTTTTGCAGCTATACTCATCACATCCAACTTGGAAATTTTGGTTCTTCATGTCAGACTACAAAAGCTTGTTTGTTATCAATGAGTGATTTTTCAAAGACAATCTTTTAAATACCCCAGCCCAGTGACAATAAGAAAAAAAAATCATTTAATACCTGTGACATCTGATAACACTGAACAAGAAGTAATTTACTGATGTTAGATTGTCACATTGAAGAACTAGAATGCCTTTTGAAAGATAAATATCCTGAGCAAAGAAGAATATGGCTGACTCAACCCATTGAACAGAATTGTGATGGTGAACTAATTCTTGCATTTTTAAGGGAGATGCGTCTGTGATGTCTGCTCAAGAGCAGTGATACAGACTTTGAAAAGAAGACAAGGAAAAAATGGACATTCCATAGTGAGGTATGCCAGTGTACACTTCATAGCAGTGGTTCCCAACCTTTTCAAGGATACAGACCCCTTTTCAATCTATTAACTTTTTACAATATAGCTGTGCCTGCAGCCTACACATCCCTCGGCCCACTCTGCTTCCCGAGTGGCATCCCTCAGCCCACTGGGGAAGCAGTGCAAGCTGAGGGACATACTGGCTGCCGGCACAGAGCCTCTCAGCTGAGCTGCTTCCTGAGCCATGGGAAGTAATGCCGGTTGAAGGACGTGCTGGCTGTGAGAGGCTACACATGGGCCCCCTACAGAACCGTGGTTCGCGGACCACAGGTTGGGAACCACTGCTTTACAGGGATTCTATTTAGTCAGAGGCATACATCTTGAGCTCCTCAGTTACAGCCCTGCATTTAGTTGTGGGCAGATAAACCCTTGTATCGTTACAGAGCCTAAGATAGTGGGGCTCTGCAGAGGTGCACAAGTCTACCTGAAGAAATACAGTGGCAGAATCAAGACCACAGTAATTAAAGAAATCCTGAAAATATATCTGAGCTGCTGTGGAAGGGCAGTGGTTTTAGTTATGATAATAATTTGTTACATGATCTTTCACTATTAAGGAAACAGAAATCATTTTGAATGTAAGATCACTAGCTGTGTAATGTCATATATGCCTATTGTGTGTTCAGTTTTTTTGTGGGGAGGGGGAGAGGGGAGAAGCACCTTTTTGTTTGATAAAATACCTTCTTCAGTTTTTCTTTTTATTATAAGATATAGGGACTGAGACTCTGGGTTGGGATATTGTGTGTATTTATCAGTTGGGTATTATCAGTCCTTAACTTACATAAGTCCCAACTTGTCACTAGATTGTCTGCCAGAAAAATATTCAAACATACATTTTAATGAGCCTGTTTTTACACTTGAACAAATTTTAAACATAGTCTTTTGTTTTTCTCTGTGATTAGTATACTGCTTTTGTGAACTAAATCACTTTTTAAACTATCTAACTCTTATGTCTGATTCATTCAGTTATACCAAAATCTAGTTTTTGGTATTCTGTATCAGCAAGGCATATGGCATGAAAATCCCTGATTTCAGCATGCAGGTTTGATGGAGCATCCTGGTATAGATAGATATATATTGAACAGTGAGAATATATATAAATATTGAACTGCTGCTATTTGCTCTGAATTGTCTGACCTGCACACTGAATAAGGCATGGGTTGTATGGAAAAATAGTTTATGCTCATGGAATTTTAAATTACTACATTTTAATACATAATCAGGTAGAGACAAGGTTGGAAGGTTACCTTCAATTCGCATTTCATGTTATGAATACTTTGCAGCCTCAACATTTTTAACATACCCCAGTAGTTCTTTTTTTAAATTATAAATATCTGCAATTTTTCTATTTGTGAACTTTTTACTTACAAGTGCTTCGTGTTTGTACTAAGAATGTTTTAATTCCAAAGCTGTAAAAATGGCATAAGCCTAATTTTTGTGTATCATGCTACAAATCAGCATTTGATAATAGATTCTTTTTAGTGGGTATACTGCATAAAATCCACTGAATTCAGTAATAGTTGGCATACTAAGATTTATCTTACTCTGACCACATTTTTTTATGTGACCATTATATCAATGTACAGAATTCTTACTATAGGAAATTCAAATATGTTGATGCTGAGTGATAGTACTATATAATCATAGAAATGTAAGGAACATTGAGTGGTTATCAAATCTAGCCACCTACTCTGATATTGGACCTACCAACTGTTTGTCCAACCTAACAAGTGTTTGTCCAGCTGTTCTTTACAACATTCAGTGATGGAGATTCTGCACCCTCCCTGGGAAGCCTATTCCAGAATTATCTACCCTGGCTGTTAGAATTTTTTTCCCTCAGATACAATCTAAGTCTCTTTTGCTGCAAATTAAGCTCATTGCTACTTGTCCTACCTTCAGTGGACATGGGGAATAATTGATCACCATCCTCTGTCAACATATTTGAAGATTTTTCACTGGTAGTTTTCTTTTCTCAAGACTAAATAGTCCCAGTGGTTTTGGTTTTTTTTGTTTTTGTCCTCTTAATTAATGTTATCTAAACCCTTTTTTGATGCCATTTTCTGGACTCTCTCCAACTAATTCACATCTTTCCTAAAGTATGGTATTTAGAATTGGATATAATACTCCAGCTGAAGCCTGAACAACACAAAGTTGAGCTAGGCAATGATTTCCTCTGTCTTACAATGTGTTAATGCACCCTAGAATGTCGTTAGTCCCTTTTTTTGGCAACTGCATCACATTGTTGACTTATTTTCAGTTAGTGATTCACTCCAGTCTCCAGATGATTGTCTTCAGCGCTAGCCAGTTACTCCCCTTTTTGTAGTTTGCTTATTTGATTTTTTTTCCCCCTTTTACATGCCTCTATTGAATTTCATCTTGTTGATTTCTGGACAAATTCTCTAATTTGTGAAGGTCTTTTTGAATTCTGATTCTGTACTCCAAAGTGTTTTCAACCCCTCCCATCTTGGTGTCATCTGCAAATGGTATAAGCACTCTTTACATCATTATCCAAATCAATATCAATTCTTTAATGCTACAGTTTTTCAGGTTACTATGCTGGTTATGCTGTGTGTATCAGCTCATATAGTACTATCTCTTGGAACCTCATCAAGTTATCAAAGCAATATCAGTATTTAGTACAGTGTCACATTTGTTAGAAATGTGAATTCAAATTCTGCTTCTCTTTATTCAGTTACATATTT